ATCTTTATATCTTTCTATGATTTTAAGCCGATATTTCATTGATTATATTATTTATATTTATATTATCTATACGATATTCGAATATTTGTTTTTAGATGTTTCACCTAGCTATCTTCCAAATATTGGTCTTTTATATTAAAAAATTTCGACCAGTGCAAGTTTCTGATGGAATTCAATGAAAATTTTTTTAAATGAATTCTATAAACAAATAGAATTCATTTAAAAAAATTTTCATCAAATTCTATTGAATAGTAATTGAGAAAATTTTGTCTAAAGTGTTAGGAAATTTTCACATTAAATATAGTCGCAGCAGAAATTTTTCTAAACTTTGAACTAAATTTCTTAATAACTATCAGACAGAATTCAATAAAATTTTTTTAAGTGAATTCTAAACATTTATATAATTAATTTAAATTGAGTTCTATCAGATAGTTTTTGAGAAACTTTTGTTCAAGGTTTAGAAAATTTTTTTTTGTGGCTATTTTCTTTAAAGGTGGCAGAAATTTTCTACAAAATATCTCAACAACTACCTAACAAAATTTAATAAATTTTTTTTTTAAGTGAATTCTATTTATTTATAGAATTTATTAAAAAAATTCTAGTGTATACTATCAGCCCATTGTCAAGAAATTTTAGTTCAAAGTTTAGAAAAATTTCTGTCCAACTATTTACTTTATTTAAGTTGTAAAAAATTTTCCACACTTTGAATGAAAAGTTCTCGACAAGTATTTAATAGAATTCAGTAAAATTTTTTTTTATTGAATTCTACTTACCTATAGGATGCATTTTAAAAAAATTCCATCGAATTCCATCAGATAGTTGTTGAGAAAATTTGCCCAAAGTTTAAGAAAAATTCTACTTCGATAACTTACGTACATTTAATATCACATGATATTCAGTAACGCGTAAAATCACGTGATCTGTACGTGTCCGTAGACTTTCCGATGGCGATATTGGGGTAGTTCGACTCGAATGAAATTACAGTGGATTGGTATGGTATAGGTGAACGCCTAATAAGTATAGTTTATAAATCAGCCTGCGCTATACGGATCTGTTTACTTATACCATACCAGTATATGATTTATTGTATCGATACTTTAAGTAGACAGTATCGTAAGTAGACAGTATTACTTTTCAAATTCGTGTAAAATTTTAAAGGTATTTTTAAAACTGATTGTTATTTTTAGATGAAAAAACGCTTTTTTTTTAAATAGAAATCGGTTTTAGAATAACCTTTTAGTATATTGCAGATCATTTCTATATCGCGTAAAATACCTGACTGTATTAGTTATGAACATAATATTACGTAATGATCGCCAATGATGCCACTTTCCTACGTACTGACATGAGTTATGCACTTATAGGTATTTTGGAATGGACAGGACACTTGTTATAGCGGGTAATTTTATTATATAGTACTTTGAAAATTCTGGAGGAATATAGAAATACTGGTTTTGTTACAATAGGAGCCAGATTTCATCTTGCTTTAATTCAGCCATTATTAAATAAATTGACGTGGGTTCGTGAAAAATTTAAATGCTATAATACTATTGAGAGAAATCCATTTACTTAATCTATTATGAGAACTCATGTGCAATTAGTATCAAATTACTATCTGTCGACTATCAATATAACTATATTTAGAAATAAAATTGAATCAAGAACGTAACTAATTTTAAGTAAAAATGATATAATTATATTTTGCTGTTGGTTACATCCTTTATTCTAATCGGACGGACAGCACATGATGCTAATTATATAATTTGGATTGGATGGACTGTTAAAACTATTAACGTTAAATTATGATTATTCAATTTTTAAGGAACTTTAGATTTTCACTTCCAATTTAAGATTACAGTACTGTACATACCGGTTTGAACATCGATTTGGTAATTATCATTATTCGTGATCGACATAATAATTGAGTAAGTACGTATCTAATATCTGGTATTGCGAAATTAATTACCCAAAGCCATGAGACAAAACAGTCCGCTTTTTTTATAAGGATAACATAAATATAAAAAATCATCATCAACATATGATATTGCATACGATATATTCCATTATTAGCTAAGGTACTTTTTTATAATTAAGAACGGACACACTTGTGATGTCCGGTAATTTTATAATATTTTGATTTTGATTGATTGATAAACACAATTGGTTTACGTATAGAAATTGTAGCCCTTGAGAAGTTGTTTAAAAATAATATTTTTGATATAAAATTTTTGTTTAATAAAATCTCTATATAGCATAAGATATTATTTTTATTATAGCTATAACTATTTAGAGTGAGCTCTTTATTAGTCACAACTTTATATAATCATCACTTTTTGTATTCCGAAGGTGTGATTCTAGAGAGGTTTGACTGTATATAAAACTTAGAAAATTCATAAATATTAAAAACATATGACAGGTGCCAAACTACTATAAATATATTTTATAATAAATAATTTAAAAATTTAGATATTAAATTTTAAAATCATGTTTTAATACCGTATTTACGAAAAAACGCACATGGGCGTTATTTTGAAAATCGCATTTCCTTAAAATAGCATAGTTGGTTTCAAATAACGCCCATGTGCGTCCCGAAATAACGCACACCTCATATACTAATGTTAATAAATCACCTTAATATTTACCATCAGTGATTAGGTGTATCTTTTACCTCGAAATAACGCCCATGCGCGTACTAGAAATAACGCGCATCTCTTCGAAATAACGTGCAGATGTGCGTTATTTCGCGTAAATACGGTAACTATTAAATTCAAAAACTCTTTAATAATTACTTAAACTAAGTTTATACTAAAGTAAGTAAAAAACTCAAAGTTCTTTAGTAAATTTTTTTTTGGTTCTACTTAGAGGCAAGGTCTGTTGTTAATAAGCTAACTAGATATAATATACCAAGAAGTAGATATACTTGTAGCAGTTTATATTGAGTCAAGCTTTCTTTTAAATAAACTTAGTATACTATAAGTATTTGGTATTTAAGCTAGAAAAAAATTTTGGTAACAGAAAAACAACGGTTTTGCTAAAAGTTTACAAAGCCAGAAAAACTAGAATACTCTTACAAACCTCTTTTATCCTTCTTATTATTTTTTTGTTTTATTTTCTTATAAAAAATAAAAAATATAGCTTATTCACTCTAGAAAATTAGTATTATTTTATTTAATAATTTGTAGAAGATGCCTCTAAGGACTTTTTTGAATAAGTCAAATACAATTTTTTTGCAAGAATGAAGCACAGAAAACTACCTAATTTATCTGCAACCTCAACCTACTTGAGTGATTAAAATGCGTACCTAGATTTGATAAAGTAATATATTAGTGATAGGGATACTGTATTGGATCTATTGTAAAGTTCATAGAAACAATTTTGAAGTATTAAGCCCAATTATGCGGTGCATGCGTATTTTTTCCATATATGCATTTATTCGAATTTTGACCATCTTTAACCGGGATTAGTCCACATAACTACAAAGAATCACCTTGTAATACGTACTGTAATAACAACAATTAGAGCTGGGATCCTTTGAATATCCATCACGGTTATTTAATGAATATTTGCGGATTTTGGTCATCGCGAATAATAATGAATAAATATACACATTTTACATGGATATTCATAGAGAATTCACGAAATTCGCAGATATTCATAGATAATTTGCGGATATTCAGTGAATTCGCGGATATTCATAGAGAATTCGCGGATATTCAGAAAATCTCACGTGATTAAGTTTCTTATATTTATCAAATATTCGCACAGAACATTCACATAGATATTTACACGGATATTCGCACAAAAATATTCGCACGCAATATTCACGCAGATATTTGCACGGATATTCATATAGATTTTCACGGGCCCAGCTAGTGATGGGTGACGAAATTGACGAAATTTGACGAAATAAGTATTTCGTCAATTTATAATTTCGTCAATTTCGTCATTGCGAAAATAATTTCGTCATTGCGAAAATAATTTCGTCACCCATCTATAGTCCCAGCTCTAACGACAATGTAACTGATAACTTATTGTCTTTATACAGTATTTTATATTGGATTTTGGTTTCACCTATGTTGGCATCTGAAAATCGCGTTGAATTTTAAGTTTTCACATGAATTAATGCGCATGAAATATAAAACTTTGACATATTACAGTATTTTTGCAAAGAAAAGTATTAAGGCCAATTATGCGGTGCATGCGCATTTTTTCCATCTATATGCATTTATTCGAATTTTGACCATCTTAACCGGGATTAGCCCACATAGCTACAACCTTGTAATACGTACTGTAATAACGACAATGTAACTGATAACTTATTGCCTTTAAACAGTATTTATATTGGATTTTTCGTTTCACCTATGTTGGCGTCTGGAAAATCCGTGTTGAATTTTAAGTTTTCACATGAATTAATGCGCATAAAATTTAAATATTCGACATAATGCAGTATTTTTGCAAAGAAAAATAATTCTATATAAATAGCATATACAAAATTAAACAATATTAAATATCTAAATTTTTTGGAAATCTCTTGATCTAATGGTGAGAATAACGATTGTTAATTTTTTTTTTTTGCATTTTTCAATTAAATTTTGTAATGACTCTATGGCAAATGTGTATTTAAATTCAAATGCAGACAGAAACCAAACGTCGTATAGCACTTCCCGCGCCTTTTATGAGGCCACATTATGATGTGGTTGTTATTGGATCAGGATATGGGGGTGCTATTGCTGCCTGTCGTATGTCACGAGCTGGAAAAAAAGTTGCTCTCTTAGAAAGAGGTTATCGTCGTTTTAAGCAATTTTACATACAGCAATGTTGCATTGCAGCTAATTTTAGCTAATAAAAAAATAGGGAAAGAAAGATGGCCTGGAGAATATCCAACCAAGCCCTTAGAATGCTTAAAAGAAATGCAATATAGTTCAGTTGCGAGACACATAGGTAAAAAGACTGGAATGTACCACTTTTATAATGGATCTGGTCAAGATGCTTTTGTTGGATGCGGGCAAGTATCAGTAAAATATTTACAATTTTCAAATAATCAGTCCAAATAATCAATTTAAATAAAATTTTGTATGTAAATTACAATATATATTGACAATAGACTCGGTGGCACCTCTCTTATTAACGCAAATGTGACCCTGGAGGCTTATCATCGTGTTTGGGAAATGGAGATTTGGCCAGAAGACATTGAGTATGAAGAAATTAGGCGTGGTACGTGTACGTAATTGGTTGCGCAATAATAGCGTATATTTCCTAATTTCCTTTATTCTTATAATAAGGCTACGAACTTGCACAGCAAATGCTCGAACCAGTTTCTTACCCGGAAAGCTCACCAGATTTTCCAAAACTTAAAGCATTGGAAAAACTAGCTGAAGAATTAGAATGCCCTGAACGTTTTAAACGTCCGCCAATCACAGTCACCTTTGAAAATCGTATCAATGCAGCTGGAGTCAAACAGAAAAAATCCACATTGACGGGAACGACACTACAGGGGTTAATGATGGAAGTAAGAATAGCACTTTAATGAATTATATTCCTGATGCTTGGAATCACGGATGTGAAATATTTTGCAGGATTGACGTCAAACGTGTTAAAAATGACAAGAAAAGTAAAAAATGGATCGTTTTTTATGAATGGTTATTTGTAAGCTTTAAGATTATTAACATTATTTGCGAGTTTATCTTAATCAATAATGGCTCACAAGAATTTTACTAAATATGTAGGATGAACGAGAAGCCTTCACAGTTGATAGCCATCAGTCTCTCTTTTTTGTAACGGCTGATATTATTTTTCTTGCGGCTGGTACTCTTGGAACTAACGAAATTTTGCTCAGATCAAAAGCGAATGGACTTGAAATTAGTTCGGAATTAGGACGAGGTTTTAGCGGAAATGGGGATGTG